GGAGAGAGGGCGAAACCATATAAATATGCCAGCGTGTAATTAAGCACAGCGCCATGAAGGCGTATTGAGAAATGAACGTGAGACTGTACGCATGCTCAGCATCGGCAATAGATAGAAAAAAGTAGTCAGCTTCACTCTCCGGTCGCATTATCCTCTGTAAAAGAGGCTACAGCATTTGTGGGGTGGAGACAACGTAACTACGAACTGAAATGGTATTAGCATGTTAATCTGGGAGGACTGAATGGGCGAGACATCTAGAGGAGGGGGCCACTCTTCGTGCTGTGTGAGGAACCGCATGTATATTTCAGCACATAAAGAATGTGGGCCGTCATCTGGGCATCGAACTCGGGAACTGCGACCTTGGATTTATCACGTGACGCTCTAGATAAGACAATGGCATTCGTCGCACGCGCTAGCCTACTCTTGCGTCGGCCATCAGAGGAAAAATGGCTCAAGTCAGTCCGCAATATGCAGGTTCTGTAAGCCAGGAGGACAACACATGCAAACTGAAGCACGGCCCCTCTCGACAAGACTAGTGAAGTAGCCCCATAAGGTTCATCACCGTGTTCACAAGAGCCCACTACTGTCCACACACTGACACTGTATTTTCTTAATATCCATCTTAGTATTATCCCCACATCCTACTGAGTGCTCGCCGCCATCCATGCTATGTGCCCCGCCACTCTCATTGTATTAGTAATACTACTGGCTGAAGAGTGCACATTATAAAGCTCCTCATTGGACAGTTTTATTTTTCTGTTCTTCCTTCAGCGTGACAAAATTTCGCACCCATACAAAATAAAGGAGTAAGATTAAAAAAAGGGAAAGCTATCCCTGTGACAGGCCGTGTGGGCTCATAGGGGTGTGAGACGTCGAGGTTCCCACATTTTCTCTAGACAATCGGCTCACAGACGGCGGTGGGGTTGTCAGCCTTACGCTCCGGCCGGCCACCCTTTACCTCCAGGAAGATTCCTGGTGTTCATTTATGTTAGAGGCCGAGTCGACCCCAGGGCCATAGTGCGGCTGGGAGGATTAGGTCAATTGAAGGCATCATCGGGAATGTAACCCGCGACCTTCAGGATTGGACCATAGTGCCTCCAAATGAGTAAATAACAGTTTATATTTTCTTCCATTATTTAACGATTTCAGCTGAAAGGAAGTGGCCGTGGCCTGTAATATCCCGGGAAGTGACCAGTGCGTGGTACCTCTGCGCTTGCCACGGACGACGCGAGTTGCTTTGTGTCAGGCGCAGAGGTAACGTCAACTATATATATAATCGCATGTTCTTGGAAGTTCTCGATTTCCCTGAAGCACCCACAAGCGCATCGTCAGCTGATAAATATTTACAGAGGTCTATTACTTTGCAGGGGAGCTGAGTCTCTAGCCTTGTCTATGTACATACTTGTGAGGCCCAGTCGCGCGTTACGTAAGCAGCGACAGGCCAAGCGCGTCAGCACTTACAGGACGCGCGACCCCGAAACAGATTTCACAGAAATGCCAACATCTATACACATAACAAAAAACAAACTCCGTGGCTTTAGTCCGCAAGCGAACTATACCGATCGAGCGACCGCCGCTTGTCGGCGAAGTTACTGCCAACTTTAGCGGATACAGTGTATCGCGTCGTCAGCGCAACGAATCCCCACGGTCGTTAATTTCTGTTTTCTAGACCTGAGCCGCTACTTTTCCATTCAAGTAGAGAGACAGTAAGAGGGTACAGGTAAAATTGTCCCTGTGCTTAATGAGTTAAGCAGTGCCTTGAAGAGATGGGGGAGTGGAGGGGTAGTTCCAACTTGACCTCGGCACTAGATGGAGGTGATTGGTCAGTTTCACGCCCATGCTGCTTTACCCCTATGGAAAGAGCACCGGGGTGCTCATTGGATAGGAGGCTGGGTGAGCCTGTAGATTTGTATACCCCTATCGTTGCTAGGTAACGGCTCGGTAAAGACGTTCTCGCGGCAACGAAGAAATGTTGAAGGCGTCGTTTTCTCTACGGTCCGTGTCGTATCAAAGGAAAGTAGATATATAGATTATCAGTTCTTCCCAGGACTTCTTTTTCAGCGTTAAGTTGGTGTGGCTGCAAGAGTGCAGACCCTGTGTAGCAGTGGTTTTGTGAAAGCGGGAGGCCTGTGCAGTGCTCCGCGATGCGTGTTTGTTGAATCCACTCACTCACGTTTGTCATTGCATCACGTGACCTTGACATAAATAATTATATTCCGTTCGCCAGTGCCACTGTGTGCGGTTCGGAACTGTGCGGAGTAAAACAGTACCCGGAGCGCGCTTTGGCCGTCACTTGTTTCTGCAGTCGCAGTGACAGCGTCGATAAATGTTGGATTGGAAAGGGTGTGGAAGGAAGCATTCGTACTATATAAAACAAGGCGGACATCATAGAAAACGACGCATCCAGTAGTCTTATATTGTCGCGTGTGTATTCGTTGCAACGATAAAGTTTTTACCTAGCCGTTGCCTAGCAACGGTAAGGGGATACACATACACGCAGACCGATTGGAGGCATTTATGAAGTACGCTGTTGAGATGGGCTCAGGTGCCTTGATACACACATCAAGTTTTATAAAGAATGTTTCAGCCATTCGGAAGTTGATAGGACGGATTCACAGACACATAGACACAGTAAGTCACTCGTGGAGTTGAGCCCTTCTTGAGAAACCGCCAATTCTGCAGCCACTCAAGAACTTCCCAGCATTTTATGGATCCCGGAGGTTGATTACCGTGTTCACAAGAGCTCTCCACTGGTCCCTGTCCATTTTAACATCCATCCACCTACATCTAGGTCTTGCTAGTGATCTCTTTCATTCTGGCTTGCCCACCAATAACCTATATGCATTATGGACATAAAACGTAAAATATGTGATATTAGAACCAGGAAGAAACATTTATTTCTCGATATATCCTCCACCAACTTGTCCCATCGCTTTACCAGTGCGTCGAAACCCGCAGCATAGAAGTTTTTGACTGTTGTCTCAGCCACTTTAGAGCCTGGTCGGGCATCATCTGCGACTTTAGAACGTCCTTGAGCATTTCTCGGTCCAGCTATGAACCGCTTTACGCGACAAACACTTCCCACCGTAAACAGGAAACATATGCTTGTGAATGTCCTTTTGCCAACAAAAAGAAGCACAATAGAACGCTGCTCTTCGGTAGTACACATTCTGTTACGGTCGCCATTTTTCTACTGAAATCAGCCTCTGAACATGCGCATCTGCTACGTAGGCTGTTATGAAGCCGAACTGTGCTGCTACCTAATGATACACATAGAAAATCTATGACGTCCATTACAAATGTTTTACTTCCATTTGCGACGTGTTTACCGACTCTCCCCCGTATAAGGACTATATACAGTAAAGCTTATCGCAGTATTAAGACTCCAACAGGGATATTTGGACGCCATTTGCAATTCCCGCCGAGCGCTTCAGTGCTTTCGTCTGTCTGCTTGTTGCCTGGTTTCTCTAATTGCGGCCACTTGCAGTGTCCGCGAAGACACCAGAACCTTATAGCCACCAATCAATAGAGAATTGCGCCTGAGCGCCCCTCATGCCGTCAGGAGACATTCCCATCTGACGCGAATCTCTTCCTGGAAGATTGACGAGATGCGAATCCCCCCTCCATACCCACTCTGTGACGTATGTATCTTGGCAACTTAGCAGGATTAAGACATCTGCGTTAAGTGGGAATTTCGGGGTTCGGTTTCTTACAAAGAGAACATGTTAAGTGCGCGGTGCTTATTTTCTCACTTCTCAGAATGAGACCAGGCGCCACTTCACGAATAACCGCGTCTTACCTTCAAGACGTGAGATCGAAGCTAAATTTATCCTCATCTCGTGTTGTCGTTCCAACGTACATTATTCTTACCGCTCCGAAGGGCACTGGCTTGTCGCCTCGATCCAATTTCGCCTGACTTGTATTGGAATCAGAATAAAATGATAAGAAACTTGTCCCTGTGCTTAACTAATTAAGCACTACGCCATGAACGTATTCTTGACCTCGGCACTAGTTGCAGGGAAGTGAGCGGTCAGCTTCACGCTCTGGCCGATTTACGCACGGGGAAAGAGCCCCCAGTTGGGTGGGCCCCCAGAATCGGTCTGGACGACGCGGACAGGAGAAAATGCTTGCCCCTGCAGGGACTCGAGCCCCGTCCCTCTCGGCCGTCCACCCCATAGCCAGTCAGCAGTATCTGCTAAGCTATCCCGGCTGACAAACTCCGCACTGGCCTGTGTCGGACACGTGACTGCACGTTACATCGTCCCCTCTATCGTAAACACCAATCTTTATTTTGAAGTCTCCTTTGTGAGACAGAAAATTAATCTTTTGAACTTGTAGTCTATCAAATGTTCCATCTATAATGCAACAGTCAATAACACTGATTCACACTTTAATATTACAGACTGGTCGTTTCGTGTATAAGATTTTATTAACACTAATAAAATATATGTGAATTATTTAATATTTTCATAGACCGCCTCTGTTGTCTGGTGGTCAGAGTTCCTGCCTACAAGTACAGAGGTCCCGGGTTAGATTACCGGCTCTACCACATTTTCTGAGAGGTAGTGGGTCTGGAACAGGGTTCATTCAGCCTCGTGAGGATAATTGAGGGGTTATTTCAAGGAAATAGCGGCTCCGGTCTAGAAAACCGAAATTAACGGTCGTGGGGATCCGTTGCGCTGACCACGCGACACCCTGTATCCACTAAAGTTGGCAGTAACTTCGCCGACAAGAGGCGGTCGCTCGGTCGTTATAGTCCGCATGCGGACTAAAGCCGCGGAGTTTGTTTTTAATGGTGTTAATAACATCTTATGCACATAACGATCTCTGTGTGGATTAAAGTGTGAACCAATGTTATTGATTGTTGCATTATAGATGGAACATTTGATAGACTGCAAGTAGAACCTCAATGCAGCAGGATGCTTGAATATAATATAATCTTTTGAACAGTTTGGTGAATTCCGGACGAGTTTTCTATTGTAATGTTTCACTTGTTGCAGTGAACTGAGAGGACAGTGTCCAGTTCTTCCTGCATAGAGCGTCTGGGCCCGGCACGGCGGTTCGTCCCGTGTCTGGCATGGCGCAATGTTGACCACATGCCCAAACTGCCTCCACGTGTTCCACAACACCAGCAGCAGCAGCAGCAGCAACCTGCAGCACGAGCACCAGAGACTGATACTGCAGTCACAACAACACTTCACAACACTGCCATCATCCTCATCTCCTTCCGTTCACTTTACAACGCCATGTTGCGACTCGAGCAGACCGCAGCAGCAGCAACCACTGCTGGTCTCCCTGCATTTACCCCCCACAAATGTGGCAACCACATGCACGGTGGCTGTTTCCACGACAACCGGCTGCGAGCAACATCTGAGTCAGCGTGTGCTTGCTGGCATGACAGGAGGCGGTATCGTCCAGAACAACACCGTCACCGACCCTCCATCGTCTGTGATCCTGCAACAAACCACGCAGGACGAGAAACTCGTCTTGCCCCCCTGTTCCCCACAACCATCGCCGTCAGCCCCACTCTCGTTCGTTCTGCCACCAGCACAGAATGTTTTCACAACCGCCAGAACTTCCACGCTGTTGCCTTTCCAATGGACAGTGGCTACATCGGCGGTGTCGTCCACAGTGACCACAAGCCCTGTTCAGAGTCCACAGCAGTGGACACTGCCGTCACCAACCACAACTCCCTGGGTTCTTGGCCTCCACATGCCACAGACGCAACAAATTCCGCAAGTCCCCCAGTCAGACACGGACTTGGTGCGGCTTGCAGCGACCTTGAGGGCGCTCAGGACTTCGGGATGGTACTACGAGGGTCTCTCGTGGCAAGAGTCTGCGGAAGCACTGCAGTCAACTTCACCAGGGACATTTCTGGTAAGAGATTCGTCGGACCCAAGGTTCCTCTTCTCACTCAGCGTCCAGACGGAGAGGGGCCCTACCAGTGTGCGTCTCCACTATGTCTGCGGTCAGTTCCGTCTGGACGCAGAACCAAGACTGGCCCCCCTGATGCCTCTCTTCGAGTGCGTGGTGCGTCTGGTGGAGTACTACATCGAAGCGACGAAAGACAGTGCGCGGTCCGATGGTGGCGAAGGGGAACCACACACAAAGGGAAGCAAGGGAACTCTCCTGAGACACAAAGAGCAGGTGTGGGTGGACGCGAGAGGACACATGTACTCTCATATCCTGCTCACGACACCCCTGTACAAGAAGCAGCAACTACCATCTCTGCAGCATCTTGCGCGGTTGGCAATCAACAGGGGTCTGAAGGCTGCAGGACCACAGCAGTGTTCCTCAAGGGGTACCCACTCTGCTGTTGCAGCAACATCGCAACTCCCCTTACCGACCCTGCTTTTGCATTATCTAAAGGAGTACCCATATTGTCACTGACGGGTCTTCGGCGACACAAAGATGACAATCAGAGCACGCGCGACAGGGGTGGGATTCTACAGAGGGATGCAGTAGTGAATAGAAAATTATGTGAAGAAGGCCCAGGCATGGCAGAACATTTGCAACCAGACGGACTTCAGTTTTCTCCCGTAACACGTTTGTCTTCCATGAAGGCTTTTATAACATTCGTCAGATGTTATGTTCCATGTGTAATTCTGCTGATGGAAATCTTCAAACCTCAGCGGACGAAAGACGAGCAAACTAAACAGATATATCAGTTTGAACACGAGAGAAGCTACAGTAAAGTTCTCCAGCTATCAGCAGATTTCGGTTATGTTTGTAAGTTGCTAAGGAAGAACTGTGGATCTTTGCTTGCTGCTGATAACAATAACAACAATAATAATTATCGTATCAACAGTGTCGTATGTTGAAAATGTGGTCATATATATATTCTGAAATGCTGATAGTTTCGGGGCAACTATAACTCACTGATGATGATGATGATGATGAGTAATCAGTAATTATACTTAAACTCCCATAAAGTAATGTCTATGCATACGACGGTAAGTTGCTACGGGTTTTAATAACACAATATTCATTATAAAATAAAATAGAATTAATTTAGTGCGTGTGTATGTTTGTGTATAAGGCAGATGTTTATATGTCCATATTTATTTTCCATTTGTTTGTGTGGACCCGTGACAGAACAGGTTAATGTATGTATGCTTATATCATGTGAAAACAGCAACTGAAACCACAGCGCAAATGTCTCTCAGCCACTGCAATTGTTATCCTCTTTATATTTTTGCACTGTTCCACGCTTCATGTTGTTTACGAACGCTACACCATGACGAGTAATAATTCCATGAGTCAAAGCAGAAACGCACATGTAACGCAGGGAAACATATTCATTCTAATTTGCACCTACAACCCCTGTCAGTATAGGCACTCTGCAGCACAATCGCCCGTAAGAATAAATGCACTGTAGTGTGTTGTAATGAGTTTACATTAAACGTATGCCTAGTATATGATTTCAACTCTTCAGGCTTAGCTGCTTCACATGTTCCAAAGTTTCGGCATAGATTGTAGTTGACTTCTTCAGTGTGGGGGTGTAACACCATAGCCCAAAGCTCAGCGCCACAACACAGGCGAACCAAGTGTCGTCCTCTAGGGGCAGAATGTTATACCAATACGGTCTTTTGGGTTGTAATACCGTGTAGTTTGGAGAGAGCCCGACGTTTCGAAAGAGCCACGCAAAACTCAGGCGGTACGCTGGGCCCGCTCTGAAGCCATTCTCAGCTTACCGTCTGCTTCTGCCGGGTTCTTGCTTTGCTTGCTTAGATCCTGAAAGTGGTGTCCATATGTCCCTCCGAAACGTCGGGCTGTCAACCAGATACCGGTGTTTTGAGAAAGTTAATCTTTAATCCACCTGAAGATGACAGTTACAGTATACGCCGAAACGTCGGTACGTGAACAAATTTAGATATTTCCGGTATAGCGACCAGTCAGGCAGCATTTTCACCGCACCCACACGGGACGACCCAGTTACAAGGGGTCACTGTTCTGTTCTATACAGATCAGTGCGAACAGACGAAATAGAGAAAATATTGATTTTATTTACCGTCCTTTTCGTGTTGGGCGCCGGACGGAGAGGGAAATAAACATCAGAAGTAGAGTCGAGCGCGCGCTTTATTGCAGTCCTATTATGGCTCCTGTTATAAATATTATCATACGAAATAGTTGAACATTACGTGACATTGTGCATAAAACTTGTAATCAGAACTGACTCGAATCAGTGTTGCAGGCTGCCACATTTATTTAAACCCCAGGGGAGGACACTAAATTCAGTGTATAACAAGTGTGTTCAAACCTTGAAGTATAAATACTGCAGATGTTGCGGGCGTGTTGCGTTCGAATTCTTCTGTGTGTATGCTACGCACGCATGCGCGCGCACAGCACCCTGGCGGAGGAGGAGTTATGTTTTGAAAAAGGTCCCTGAAAGTTAATCGTTTTTAGGAAGCAGAAAATATAACAGAAACAGGCTGGAAGTCTGCTATTCCTAAGTGCGGCCACCAGTAATTCCTATAGGTTGTTGTTTATTTAACGACACTGACAGCGTTTAGACAATACAGCACCAGATGATAGGATAGTGGTGAATAATGAATAGAACAGTATCTGGAAGGAAGCGATATAATCGGGGTACCGTCCCGGAATTTTCCGGTACGAACTGAGGAAAATAAGGAAAAAATCAGGACAACCGGAGTAGTCGAGATTCGAACTAGGCAACTCCCTAACACGAGTGTTAAGAGCGTTGCATCAGTTTACCAGTTTCGTGATCTGTCTGAAGATAAAGAGTCAAATCACATACAAAGTTGTCCCCGTGCATAATTAAGCACCGCGCTGTGAAGACGTATGGGGGAGTGGAAATATAGCTTTACCACTCCTGACCCTAGCACTGTATGGAGGTTGAGTGGTCAGCTTCATGTCCGTGTAACGTCACATACCAAGAAACGCAGCCGGCTATTTTCATGTCGCGAAGCAAGGCGGTTCCTCATGCAGACGTATCGACTAGTTCCCTCCCGTGCCTGCTGCAGGTCCCCTTACTACCGCGCTTGGCTCTATCGACTTGTGATTCCTCGAAATAAGTAAAGGTGGTAAGGTATGTGCTGGTCGTTGTGATCCTCTCCCGTAAAACCTTCAAGTAACTAGGTCATGCAGCACTGCAGCGGTCGCTAGCACTTCTCGAGCGGAAAGCAAAATCGATTACATTTCGATGGCAAATACTGGACACCTTCAGTTGCCATATCTCTTTGGACAGGCGTGCTGCAGGTCCATGCTCAGTTAAGAAGAGCTTAGGGGACAGGAGAAGTGTGAAATTTAAGGTGAATAGGACCACCGTCTCTTCGGATGTGACGCCGTGTAGTTTAGCAGAAATTTTCCTACGTTTTACAGGACTGTACTATCTCGTGACCTAAGAATACGCCATCAAGTAGCAAGCACTGCTGGTTGCTGATTTCCTTGCCGGGCTGTACTTTGTGACGACGGCGTCACGCCCCGGAAGATAACTGCTCTTTTAAAAGCTATTTCAATGGGGCGAACCAAAGGACACGGAGTAACAAATGGAGTGTGTTCCGAAGTTTCGACAATCACGGCTCTATTTCCACCCTTCCGGGAACTGAAATACCTTTCTGCAAGCTTCACTTCCTCTTCCAAGAAATGACGCCCACTAAGAATAGGCATAAATAACTCTGTTACTTATATAAAGGGAGCGAAAGAGACGCAGCAAGTCACTGTTCTTGTGACCAGCGAGTACGCCTTAATCCCCAGTACAGGTCACGTGATACTTGCGATAATTCGATTAGCTAACACAGTGATGGGATGGACGGCCGGGATTCTATTCCGGTCAGGGGAAAGATTATTCTGTACTCTAACAGCGTCCAGACCGGCTCTGTGGCACACCGAACTACCCATATAATGGGTACAGGGGGCTTTTCCCTCGGAATAAAGCAGCCGGGACGTGAAGCTAGCCACTCACATTAATTTAGTGCCGAGGTCCCTTTTTAACGTACTTACCTTATTTCGAAAAAAGAGAAGTATGATATCACCTTAGTGTCTATGTGTCCCCCGTATCGTTGCTAGGAAACTGCTCGGTAAACGTGTTTCTGCTACAATGAATATACAACGCAACAATAGAACGCGGTGTTCTCCATGCCGTCCGCATCGTGTCATATACTCAGTATGCAGTGAAAGACGATTTGTTATTACTGGAGCAACTTTTCTTAAGACTAGTGACCAAGCTACAGATTTCACAGTCGGGGGAATTGGTGATGGATTTCCGGCAGGGGCAGAGCGTCCAGCCCGGCACTGGTAACGGGGTGTCCCTTGTCGGCGAGTGAACTATAACACTAGCCCCGTCATGTCTTCATATTAAACTGACGGGGCGCCTTGTGCCCCTTCTGCGTATACCGCCAGTGCGAACGGTAGGATAAGCAATGAATTGAAAAGGATGCGGAAGGAAATGGCCGTGACCTAATTTGAGGCATTATCTCCGTAACGTGGGGGCGGTGCAGTCTACAGACGGAGTGGGGGGACCATATGTCGTGTGTTCTGATGCCGTGTCAGTGTTGCTACACGCTGTCAAGCACAGCGTTTCCTGCACATGAAATAATTACGAGTTGTTAAAACTGAAACAGCCCCTGTAACCTCTAGAATTTAAACCGTAACATTCGTGTCTAGTTTCACGCAGTTTCAGTCGTGAGGCCCCTGTTCATCCAAAATTTGTACTCTTCTTGTACTCTTCTCCAAGTATAGTTAGAATAATGAAGCCAAGGAGGGTGAGGTGGGCAGGGCATATAGGATATTGGTGGGAAAGCCAGAGACCACTAGCGAGACCAAGACATAGGTGAGTGGATATTAAAATGGATCTCAGAGAGATGGGATGGTGTGGATTGGATTGATCTGGATCATAGTAGGGACCAGCGGAGGGCTCTTTTGAAGACGGTAATGAACCTTCGGGTTCCATAAAATGCTGAGAAATTGTTGAGTAGCTGCAGAATTGGCGGCTCAGCTCCATGAGTGAGTGAGTTTGCCAGTGTTTGGATTGTTTTGAGTGTGAACGGAGGACAGAAACTTGCTTGTGGGAGGGAGAAGAGCATAATTTTGCTAGAAAATTCCGATAGTTCGCCGCCCTTCGTTATAATGTGAGTAGTAAGAAAGTGAAAACGTTAGAACAGAAGCGAGTTGAAAACAGAGAACGTGGAATTTGGGGTTTGTGAACTTAAAAGTGACTTGCATGGTTTGGAAAGACAATTTTGTGGCCTTTATAGCAGTGAGGTTTAATTCTGATGAATTTTGAGACTTGAGGAAATATCTGAATTTGTCACGTCATGTTAGACCCCTGTTTGTTACGGTGAACACAAACCTCTGTTATGGAGCTGCGGTCTGCAAGATGTAACCCCATATACCCGAATCCCAGTAGCTGCTTCAAATTATTTGGAGAATAGAGGCCGTGTCAAAAAGAGACGGGGGGGGGGGACATTTCTTGGATAAGAGTACACAGAATGAGCTCTGTAAATGGAAAACTAACTATGGTGAAGCCACGGAGATTGTCCCCGCCAGTCGAGCCATTAAGCACTCGCAAGTACTGAGTGCAGAAAGCAAGGGAAGCTGATTGTATTCATGGATTACAGCAATGCCCGATAATGCACATTCGTAAAACGGTACTGTGACCAGCCGTGATTAAGGGACCAAGTTTAGGGAGATGGCTGTATTCCATGATAAATTTATGTAGGATTTGAGGTTCTCACAGGGGTCATTAGGAAGAATTCTATCTTTTGGGATACAACGCCGTTTAGTTCGTTGGAAGTTAACCAGTCTCTGTTTGCTACCTGTTTCATGCTGGTTTTTTCTTTGATCCTGAAGATGGAGGTGAAATGTTCTTCCGAAGCGTCGGTTGATCGGCACCATGGCATTATATCCCAGAAGATAGAACTCTTTACTACCATTATGCCACCGAATGTCTAATGTGACGCATATTTAATGTCCAACCCTTTTCATTCGTTAGTACAAGTTTGATAACCTCACCGTCATAAGTAGCGTTAAGAAAATCGTTTTATTTACATACGGAATGCGAAAAAATGTGAATATTTCAATGTCTTAGGATTTAACCCCCTAAAGCCCAGTGGTTACCGTACGCGACTGGTTTAACATTCGAAATTCCGCATTTTTCTAACAGTGTATCTGTGTGTTCCGTATGGTTCTCACAGTAAACAGTGACTTTCCCTAAACAGCATTAACCGGTTGGGCTCTGTAGCGGAGATGTAATGTTTCCTGTGAGGTACGAACTGAACATACTAAAACCCTGCATTCTGCCCATAGAGTGTGTCTGTGTGTTCCGTATGGCTCTCACAGTAAACAGCGACTGTTTCCCTAAACAGCATTAACCGGTTGTGCTTTGTAGCGGAGACGTAATGTTTCCTGCGAGGTACGGACTGAACATACTAAAACTCTGCATTCTGCCCACAGAGTGTGTCTGTGTGTTCCGTACGGTTCTCACAATAAACAGCGACTGTTTCCCTAAACAGCATTAACCAGTTGGGCTTTGTAGCGGAGACGTAATGTTTCCTGCGAGGTACGGACTGAATTCTTATATATTATTTAAATGACTTCTTTAACAAGTAATTCTGTTTATCAGTCAGACTTGTGCTGCTCCCCAATGCTTTGTCTCTGTTCTTACGATATATCTCTGTGTGTGAATGTAATTTTATGTCTGGAGAAAGAGTGTATCATCGTCTTTCAGTTTGCATTTGTAAGAAAATATAAATTATTAAAGTATTTATTAAAGAATGTCTGTTTTTTATTCGTTTTATTTTCCGTCTTGTCTCTTTCAGAACGTCTTTTAAATTTCGCTGTACCTGCTGCATAATTGTAGTTATGAAATTTATAGGCGCACCACGGGGAAGGGGGAGGTATTCTTCCCCAAAAAGATTTTGAACAATACATTAACTTATTAAGCAGTCATTTTGGCGCAGAAAATATCAGCTGTATGTTTAAGGTGGAATATTGGAGCTGAATTCATGTATTAGGCCAGTACGAAACTCAGTAGTGAAATATAAATAGTATAATTGAACTGAGCAGCACATGCGTCGGGAAACACTGTTTTAGTTACTACAGAAATCGCCCAGTAACCTTAACGAAACTGATAGTCATTCTTCAGGTTAGGAAAGTGCACGCCTTGTATGGAACCCAAAGGCCCATTACCGTTTTTAAAATCGCCCGTCACTGGCATCTAACCTGAACCAGATGACACTCGCCCCGTTTCTGCCTACTTCCGCGATCTCCTTCCTGTCTTGGTCTGCTTATCCCCCAGTATTAACCCGCGACTTGCTGAACCAATCTTCATGACCTCCCCCCCAAAGTGTCCCTTTCCCATCTTTCTCCCTTCCTCAGTTCCCAACGCTTTACCTTATCTGCAGTCTACGTTCACTGCCTGTCAGCAGTCACCCCACCACTTCCTCTTCTGTCCCTCTTTTCACAGGCTTCACTTGCTCATCTCATTGGTTACTCCAGGCTCGGTTTTGTCTGCAAGTCATACGGAATCTCGCTGGCGAATTTACAGGTTCGTGCTAAGTCCATAGGAAATTCACTGATAGGAGAAGGGCGCTACATACGGGTTCTGTGGTCGTTCCTCGATACGCTTCAGCAAGCAACAAGAAAGCGCTCTTCCATGAGAGCGGGTATTGTCACTGGACCTTCCACTAATAACGTTTCAGCAAAATGGCCTAATTCATAAAAGTTTTTGAACCGTATATTTCCATCTTCTGCGATATAACTTCATGTAGTCCGATGAATGTCTACCAAAGTTTCGGAGCAACATATCGCCTCTATCTTCAGAATAAGCTAAGCAAGAAATCAGCGTGAAGTAGGTAGCAAAGTAGATCACTCTGAAGTTCGATTAATTCATGGAACAGAGCTGTTGGTCAAGATATTCTATAACCCGATAGTTCATTGCTGTGCTCACTTAATTCCCATCCTGAGCCAGATGAATCCAGTCCACGCCCTCTCTTCACATCAGAAGAGTTTATCCTGTGACCTCTGCTGATGTCTCGCTGGTCACCCCTGCCTTCAGGGGTCTATAATGCGTGCCACGTTTTCCGCCTATCTCATCCCTCTGGATTTAATCACACCTAACATGTGGAGCACGACTTACGAAGCTCCCATCTCTACGTCTAAAGCAACTGACAGATTTTCGTGGTATTTAATACGAAAATTATGCCATTAAGGTACGTCGCAACGTCGAGATCTGGAGTAACCGCGATGGACGAGAGAGCTTACGAAGCGGGAAGAGCAGAGCG